TATAATATATATACATTTAATTAGGGAGCTGTTATCTTATATACATGCCTGCTAATCAATTTAGAATATTAAGCATATACCGGGTGGTCCAGGATAATTAAATTGATCATCTAAAATATCTCGCTTATTTTTAATGATATAAAAAAATATTTCAAATAAAAATGAAAGAATTTCAAGAAGGACGTATTTTAGTCATGTTGGTTTTTTTTTTAAATGGAGACGTCAAAAAGATATAAAGATTACCTCCATTTTTTAATGGAATTGTATGATTTACACAATATGATTTTTCTAATTATTTTGCATATAAAAATATTAAAGTGATAATATCAAAAAATCAATAATTAACGATATTTTACATTTTATTCTGAAACACCTTGATATAAAATGTTACTTGTAAACTATTAACTTTTTAACTTGTAAACTATTAACATTTTGATAATCGTATCTTAATACTTTTACGAATAGAATAATGAATCAGTTGGTGGAAAGAAAACACATAGTTGCTTATTTAAAAAATTACTCATTTTGCATACATATTTTTTTTAAAGCAATGATATGTTTTCTTTACACTAACTAATTTATCTTATTATTCTGTTCTGCATATAAAAGTATTAAGATATGATTATCAAAAAGTTAACCGTTTACGAGTTATTTAACATTTTATGTCAATATGTATATATATTATATCAGAATAAAATGTCTAAAAGAATTAAATATCTCGTAAACTATTGATTTTTTGATATTATTATCTTGATACTTTTATATGCAGAATAATTAAAAGAATCATATTGTGTAAAAAAATCAATTCCATTTTAAAGAATGGAGATGACCTTCATATCTTTTTGACGTCTTCATCTAGAAAAAAAACAATATGAACAAAATACGTCTCCATCGAAACCGTTTCACTTTCGTTTGAAACATTTTTTTGTATCATCAAAAATAAACGAAATATTCAAGATATTCGATTTAAGTGAACCACCTTGTATAAGCACATATATAAAGATAAGATATTACTTCCGTAGAGGATAACATAACAGCATTATAACATTAAGCAAAGAAAATTGAAATAAATGTTTAAATATTGAGAAGTTTTCTATTCACAGTTTATATAAGAGAATAGGTTATAAGTTAGGAAGCTTTTTTTCTGAGTAAACACTAGTTATTTTCGAAAAAATTTTATAAGGTCTAACGAGTTTTTTTTTTAAATGATAATAATATTTATGATCTGGTAAGTCATTTATTACACTAGCGATAGTCACAGTAAATACATAAATATTATCAGTGTGAGACATGTATAAATTATATTGGAAGATTCATACAAGTATAGATACAGAAAAATAATATAAATTGCAAGATAAATTGTTTGTGCATGTAATAATTTACATGCACAAACTATATCTATATTGTGTCTGTATTTGTTCTTGTATGAGTCCTTTCAGCCTTGAAATTTATAATTAATAATTCCGCAATTTATTCTATAGGCACATTATATACAGTGAATGAAAAAAGTATTCATACAGAGGAGATATCTTAAAAAAAACTTTTAAAAATATAAACATTAATTAACAATTTATTAACAAAGAATAAAATATAATTTGTATATTTTTCAAAATTATTTACACAATAAGTATTATATAGTCGAGAAATTTAGCTTTTCGGAATAGATAAAACTCTTTCGTTTATATTAGAACAGAATAAACTCATTGTATAAAATTACTAATTAATATTTATTTTCTATAAATAAGGCTTTTTATAATAATTTCCTCTTTACAAACACTTTTTGTTCTTACTGTATCGATAATCAAAAAGTAGTATCATAGAAGAATACAAAGAAAATAAATAATTTACCTTTTTCACGAGACGGCTTTTAGCAAGGTTGTCAGTAAGAGGATGAGTTGTCATATCAAACAATAAGAAATTTTGTTTCTCTGTAGTTAAGACACCCTTCTCGACAAGATTTTTTGCTAGCCGTTCTCTGACATTTTTCAATTGATACCTCAATTTTAAAGGATTCCATGTTTCTCCTGTAATCATGCGAGACATTTTAGGACCATCTTGTACATAAGTACAATAATAAAGGAACTAACCACTGAGATATTCTATCCAACTCTGCACAGTTTCAGGTGGATCTGTGTCCTTTAAGTGTTTCAAAGCTTCATCCAACAGTACATCTCCCGTAGGCGCATCACTTTTCAACAGAAGCTTTCTAGCTAGCAAACTTTTCTTACGCATACCAGCTTTCTCCAGCTCTACTCTACCCCGAAAGGCAAGCTCCGCTAAGATACACCCTCTTAATCCGGAACTTATGCAATCATTCCAAAAGGATGTGTATCCCTATGAAAAAGAGGACAAAGAGTCAATGCCAACCGATCCAGGAATTCACAAAGGAGAGAAAGATTTCTAGAGCATAAATGAACCTCTTTATCCTTGAGACCGAGCAGCAGGACCTCCTCCATAAGAGTGAGACGTGTCTCCTTATCAGAGTCATCGTCAATAGTGGGATTGCAGTTGAGATCCTTCTGGGACAAGCAGTCCGTGTCCGGGCTTTGTCCAGACAGTTTATCATTGTGGCCGACGAGGTCTGCGTTCGGGCCGTCCTGACCGCTGCCGCCGCCGGCGCCGCTGCCGCCGCTGTTCACCACGCGTCGTCGCTGCACCAGCCCGTCACCGCGATTCATCATGCAGCACAGGTACCACGATGAGCCACCACTTGGAAGTACGTCCGTGCGTTCCAAAAAGGATCACCACCACGAGCAACTTTGATCAAACGGACGTGTCTGTTTCAGACAGTGTCGTTATTAGAGAGAGCCGGCACAAACATCCATCGTATGGTAAACACTATGCCGTTGACGTTTACTCCAAAGTGACATGTCTCATCCAAGATGGCCAGGCCCTTCTCGTTTGATGATCTCCTCGCGCGATTATCCGCGATGGGCCGAGTCAGCGCGGTGGATGACGCGCGGCGCGGCCACGACACGATGCGATGCGATGCAACACAATGCAACGGCCGATATGATAAAACGATGAGCGTTCAAGGAATACGGGACCATGTATCTCCGCTTGATTCGAGCTTGCCTTCTGCCGTCCGCGTTTAACGTCTGTCACCGACTCACCACGAGAATCAACACGCCTGCGAGGAAGATGTTAGGATGAAATACACGTATAAAATTGCGAGACAAATCCGGGACATCGAAATTGTGGAATTCAGCGCGAGAATCACTCGTGCCACGCAGAGGATAAGGAACGAGAAGGATGAACGTCCGTTCGCAAATCGCATCAGCGGCAACAATCACGAATCAGCGAGCGAAGCAGTGTCGCCAAGATAGAATCTAGAATGCACCAGAATGCACAAATTTTCTATACCAACCAAACGACATGAATCTATTTATCCCTGTGAAATCTATTCGTATTATTTACACTTTTTGCACTCAGCATCTCCCTTTTCTTTCTTTTTAACGCCCGAATATAAGGTTTGTTCGTATTTTTTTTGTTGCTTGTATCTTTTGCCTTCGATATCTTTGCTTTCTTTCTCTTCATCAAATATATAGTTATCTTGTTTTAAATATAAGAATTTTTGAAGATTTGAAGCAACGCGAACAACCTCAAATTATTCTGAATTGCGCAGAATATGCATTGGCTTTTGCGCGCAGCACATAAACGCGCTAGGGAATAACTCGAGATGGCCAATCAGTCTTCCGCTTTTCAGGAAGCGATAGACAATAGACACCTGTCCAAGAAAGGAACAAGCATTTCCGGTATTTTGTTTGTGTTACATTAACTGGAAAATTTAAAATTTTGGCTCGTATTCAGAACACGCTCATAATGAAATTAGCGTGCAATAGTATTTGTAATACATAGAAGTATTTAGATTATTTAGAATGAGTTTTTATGAAATTAATTTTTATTGAAATTAATTTCTAAAATTCTATTATAATAGAATTGAAAACAAAATAATATAAGGCCACTTCGACTAACTTCGATCAACTTTAATCACGATGATTGTCCTGGATAATTAGTCCTGGAAAATTTAAAGTTTTGACTTGGATTTAAAACGCGCTCATAATGAAATTAGCGTGCAATAATATTCGTGATACATATAATAGGAGTATTTAGATTATTTAGAATGAGTTTTTATGTCTGAAGTTAATTTCTAAAATTCTATTACAATAGTATAGTGAAGATAAAATAATATAGGGCCACTTCGAATTCCAATCCGATCAACTTTAATCACGATGATCAGTCCATTTGAATTAATTAACTGCATTTATCATTTCAGCTACGATTGGTCAGTTCTAATTAATGGACTAATTATCAATTAAAGTTGATGTGACTCATAAAATCCTATAGCACAAAAGTTGCAACAACATTGCAGCAACATTACATGTTGCAGCAATATTGCTGCAAATCCTGTGCTATATGGGAAATATATAGTATAATATAGATTAATTTTTTATACATATGGCCCATATTTAGAACGCGCTTATAACGATGTTAGTGCATATTTACAGTAATAATAATAATTTACGTCGTATATACTCAGAGTTCTATAATATACAGAATATATACTGAAGCGGCCTTTCCTAATGTACTAAAATAGAAATTAAACTGCGGTCCGATGGAAAAAAGGAAGGCAAATAAATATACTAATTATCTTTCTGACTCTTTTCTGCAAATAATACAATTAGCAAGTCCCTGAAAAAGAAAAATACTAATTTTTGCATTAGAGTGTTATATTTTCTAGAAATTGGAACACTCCCACTCCTCGATGGCGCGTTCCAGTATATTACAATATATTAGCTCACTGCATATACTAGAATTAAAAAAAAATACAAGTACGCATTATCGATAAAAT